ATACCGTCGGCGATTGGTGGACTCTTGCTGCACTACGTGCTTGTCTTCCCATCCGACTACCAGGTGAACCTCACAACACGGCAAGAGCGGTTGGAATACCTCCAGGAGAAGTTCCGCGACATACCAGACTTGGCTGTGCATCTCCGCATGGTGATGACATTTACGCTTCAGGCGCTATACCTAATTAATGCGTACAAAGTCAGCGACAAGGGGACGGTGGTCCCACAACACCTGCTCGAGGACAACACGGTGGAGTGCACCATTCAACTTCTGTGGGAGAAGTGGTACGATCACATCGATGACGACCCGCCGCAGGACATTCACGGTCTCTACGGGGACTCGATGATTGGGATGGAGCGGGGCCCGGCAGGGGGCTGAGAGGACGACGACCGTCAGCGTTACGACGCACTTGGAGCGCCGACGGAATAAAACCAACAAACGAACAGGAGAAAAACAAAAAAACAAAAAAAAAACAAAACAAAAAACAAAAAAACAAAAAAACTACAACAACGGAACAAAAACAAAAGCAAAAACAAAAACAAGAACAAAAAAAAAAAAAAAAAAGAAGACCCCCTTCCTCCTTTCCTTCCCCTCCCCACAACAAAAAAGAGAAAAAAAAAGAGTTGGGGGGGAGAAGGAGGAGCAGACAAGAAGCCACCAACACCACAAAAAGCGTGAGATGCGTGCTGAGGGACGGTGCGTGTGTGTGTGTGGAGGAAGAGAGAATCGAAACAAATCGCGTGGGGCGGAGGCGAATGTGCGGTGCAAACAGCGGGGGCCTGCGGGGGACATATTCCAACATGCAAAAAAAAAAAAAAAGAAAAGAAAAGAAAAGAAACAAAGAAGGGAAGGAAGTGAGGGGAAAGGAGGAAGAGGAGGGGATGTCAACTGAGAGGGGTAGGGGGAAAATCAAGCAAAACAAAAAAAAAACAAAAAGATGAGATGTGAGAGGAATACTCGAGAGGGTTAGGGGAGGAGGGGAGGAGGGGAGGAGGGGAGGAGGGAAATGCATTCACCAGAAGGAACAACGGTGCTGCCTGTGACGGCCATTGATAAGAGCTTCACACACGTGTACATGACGGTGTGTGTGTGTGTGTGTGTGTGTGCATGCATGGGTACTTATGCAGTTACAATTACACCTATTAAATACATATTTTTTTTCCCTTCCCTCCCCGGTACAATTGCACATTTATTATTAAATACATGAACTGCGCTTGCCTGTGTGTTGTGTGTCTGTTCCGCGCGTAAGATGGGGACACTTTTGGACAAACCAGCAGGGAAGAAAAGTACATCACACACAGAGACACGCATTTTATGCATTTATAATTTTTATATGAGGATAATAAAAATAAACTTAAAAACAAAAAAAAAACAAACAAACAAACAAACAAACAAAAAGCAACAAAACCAAAGGAAAAGAAATAAAGAAGGGAAGAAAAGAAGTAGAAGAAGAAAAAAAAAAAAAAAAAAAAAGAGAAAAACGACTGAGAGGGGGGAAGGGTGTAGGGAGGGGTAGAAAACAAGAACAAGGGAAGAGTTGAGGGGTAGCAACAACAGCCACACAATAATGTTCATTGCAGTAGAAATAGTATTTTAGCAGAATTAGTACGGATGGAAGGCGGAGGGATTATAAATTCATGACGGGTGTATTGCGTGTAATGTATTAACTTTTTATGTATGGACATTTGTCTCTCTCTTTTTTTTTTTTTTTTTTTTTTTTTTTTTACTGTTGGATGCTACCCCTTTTCCCACCTCCCCCCCCCCCCCCCCCCCTACAGACACACAGACACCCTTTTCCCTTTTTTTTTTTTTTTTCAGTCTCTCTTTTTTCTGTTTCCGTTTGTGTGCGACTAATGTACCCATTGCACCCATAATTCACACTGTAGGCACCCGTTGTTGTGTATGGCGTGCATGCATGCATGTATGTTGATGGTGGTGGTGGTAGGCTCCTGCAGGAATACACGAATTGCATGAGAGAAGAAGAGAAGAACCCTCTTTTCCCCCCTCTTTCCTCACACACACACACACACGCACAAACAAAAAAGAAAAGAAAATAAAAAGAGCGAAAGCAGGAGAAAAAAAAAAAAAAAAAGAAGTAACAAACAAACAAAGACCAGAAGGAACCATTACATACACACAAACGAGGAAAAGAGAAGAAAGGGGGTTGTAGGAGGGTGGAGAATAAAAGAGGGAACAAAAACAACAAAAAAAACAAAAAAAATTAAAAAAAAAAAATGAAAGGGAAGAGGGGGCGTGTGTGTGTGTGTGTGCGTGTATTTGAGATGTGTGAAGAATTAAATAATCTTTATATATATATATATAAAACAAAAACAAAATGAAATGAAATGAAAGGGGATTTTTCTTATTTACCAACCCATCGATATATATATATATTTGTCTTTACGTCAGTATCCCTCCCTCCCTCCCTCCCGCAGTTCCATACACCCATCCACCTATGCCCATGCAGACAGCCACAGACGTACACACAAGCATGCATGCTTAAGGTGCATATATATATATATATATATATGTGTGCAAGTATATGTACGGGTGGGTGGTTTTTTTTTTTTTTTTTGTGTGTGTGTGTCGACGCATGTAAATAACTGTGCGGGGGAGAAGGGGGCGGGAGGCTTCGGCGCCACTGACTGTCGTTCCGTAAGGGGGAAAACAAAAACCAAAAACCAAAAAAAAATAACAAAAAATAAGGCACACACACGCACGAGGAAAAGAAGAAAAAAAAACCAAAAAAAAAAAAATTTAAAATTAAAATTCAAAGAAAACTTCACTCCCCTCCTTCTCCTTCCCCCCCCCCCCCCAAAAAAAAAAAAAATAATCCACGAAAAGACAGCAGGGGGGAGCCGAGGAGGAGGAGAACAAAAAGCAAAGAAACAAGAAAAAAAAAGGGGGGCTGACAAAAAGAAGGAAGAGGAAAAAAAGAGGGGGAGGGGAGGAGCGAAAAAACAAACAAACGAAAAACCAAAAATTGCACCGACGAACGAAAGAAAATCAACAACAACAACAACAAAAATCAAACAAACAAACAAATGGAAGGGAGAAAAAAAAAGGGGAAGGAGAAAAACAAAATAAAACAAAACAAAATAATAATGATGGAAAAAAAAAAAAAAGAGAGGGCTTTTTTTTTGTCTCTGTGTTTCTGGGGGAAAAACCAAAGAAAAGAAAAGAAAGAGGGAGAGAAAGAGAGAGAAAGAAAGAGGCGTTTAAACGTGTGCATGTCTGCGTGCGTGTGTGTTTGTGCGGTGCGGTGCGGGTGCTCACATGCACACACAGACATGCACACAGACAGACACGTATATATATATATATATATATGGACGTATTTGCGTGTAGACAAATGTTTTTTTTTTTTTTTGCCTTTTTGGCACTAAAAAAGCCTTTCTTATACTCTTGCGGCCGCGCACAGTTTGTGTGTGAGAGGAAACAACCACAACGACAAAAAAACAACAACAAAAAAGGAGTGTGTGTGTGTGTGTATATGGGACGGATGCAACAGTCATTACATGGAGAAGGAAGCGGTAAAACACACACACACAAAGAAAACGAAAGGATTAGAAAAAAGAGAGACAACAAAAAAAAAAAAAAAGAGAGGGAGAGAGAGAGAGATTGAGGGAAAAAACAGAAATAACACACACGCAGGCGAGGGGAAGAGGAGGTGGAGGAAGATATGTTTTTTTTTGTGTGTTTGTTTGCGGAAAAGCCAACAACACGGAATGGGGTGATATTCAACGGAACAACCCAGCAGGCAGGCAGACGGAGACAACAGAACTCTGACGGAGAGAGGACCGCTGGGAGGGGCTGCACAAAAGGGGGGATGAGGAGGGAAGAGAAGGCGATATCCAAAGACGTGAGGACGGAGAAAAAAAAAAAATAAAATAAGAGGAGGAGGAGTGGAGGGGCTGGGGGGTTAACGGGGAGGCAACATTGGAAAAAACAAACAACAACAAGAACCGAATGAAACTTCCTCCCTCTTTGCCTTCCCAAGCGACGGTAGCGAGGCAGAAAAAAAAAAAGGAAAAGGAGAAAATAAACCGGAGGTGGGACTTGTGTGACGAACATGTATGGCGTGGTTGGGTCGAGATGAGACGCGCGCACAAGGGAGACGACAAGGCAGAAGAGAATAACAGGCGAACTTAACGAGCGAATAGGAGAGTGGGGGAGGAAATGAGGAAAGAGGGGGGAAGGGTCTGCATGTGCAAATGGGCGTGCATGTCTGAATGGAAATGACAGGGCAGAGGAGGGGGAGGGGGAGGTGTTCCTTTTTTTTTTTTTTTTTTTTTTTCATGTGTGTGTGGGATGTGTTTGCACGTTATAATTTGTGGGCACAAATAACGTGATGGGAGAGGGTTGGCATGTGTGTTTCCGCACGCATGAATTTATCCATTTCTCATTTTCTTTTTTTTTCTTTTTTTTTATGATTGCACTGCAAATTACTGTTTGCGTCGAATTCTTCAGCTTTTTTTTTTAGATCGACGGAGGGACATACACACGCCTTTTGATGTCTTTTTCATCTTCCTTTTTTTTTTTTTGATTTTGATTTTTTTATAATTTCCCCTTTTTTTTAACCCCTCTGCAACCTCCTACACCCCACACACAATCCCCCACCGTGCTGCTGCTGCTGCTGCCTCCTTTACAGAGCACGACACCACAACACAACACAAACGAACAGCAGCCGGAAGGAAAAGAGGCAAACAAACAAACAAAAAAAACAACAACAACACTTCAGTTGCACTTCCGTTTGGCTTTCATTTTTTATTTCATTTGTATTTTTTTTTTTAAACTGTTCCTCTTTTTTTTTTTTTTTTTGTTTGCCGCTTTTCCTTCCGGCTGCTTCTGCTGTTTGTTTGTTTGTTTGTTTGTTCCCTTCCTCCTTCTCCTCCACTTCTCTCACTCTCTCTTTCTCTCTCACTCTTTTTTTTTTTTTTTTTCTTCTTCATGCTTCCTGCAGTCATTAACGATGTTTATTTACACTTCTTCTTGTTTGTTTGTCTGTGATTGCAGTGCCTCCGGAGGCTTTTTTTTTTTTCTCCCATTTTTTTCTCTTTGGCCGGCTGTCTGTGTTTTGTGGGCGGGTGGCTGGTGATGGTTGACTTTGAGCCGCTCCGCCACTTCTCCTCCTCCCCCTTTTCTTCTCTTTTCTTCTCTTTTCTCCACATGTAAAATTGTCGTTGCCGCGATCTAAACACATGTTGACTGCGCTGCTCCCTCAATTTTTTTTTTTTTTTTTTGGGTTTGTTTGGGGGAGTGGGTCGTTGTTTGTTTGTTTTTGGGGGTTTTTTCTGTTTTGTTGTTGTCTCTTCACACCGCCCCTTTTCTCCTTTTTTTTTTTTTTTCCGCCCGACGTTGAGGGAAAAAAAAAAAAAAAATGGTAATAAAATAATAAAAAAAAAAAAGAAACGAAAACAACAACAAAAAAAAAAAAAAAAGAAAAGAAAAGAACGAAGAAGAAGAGAAGAAAAGGAAAAAAAAAAAAAGTGTTATTTTTTATGGTGCATTTTGACTTTTTTTTTTTCTTCTCTCACTCTTTCTTTCTTTCTTTCCTTATCCAACGCTTGTCGATGCATTAGCCACCACCCCTCTTTTTTCCATTTTTTTTTTTTTTACTCATTTTTCCCGCTTTCCCCTCCTCTTCTTTCGTTCCCTGCACGCATGTGTGTGGCTTTCTCTTTCTCTCTCTCTCTGTCTTTATATATCTCTCTCTTTATTTATTTCCGTGGTCCTTGCGGGATTGCGCGGTCTTTCATTTAAAATATACCCCTTTTTGTGTTTCTTTTTTTCCTTTTTTTTTTTTTTTTTTTTTTTTTTTGCATGGGAACAGGCTTGACGCGCGTCAGCTTTTCTCCTCAGCCCACTCTCCACGTGGAATTGTTCGGCGACGCATGCGCACAGGAGTGCTGCCGGCAAATGGGTGGACGGAGAGGGGATTAGTGTCTGCGCAGCAAAAAAAAAAAAAAAAAAAAAGGGCGGACCCTTTTTTTAAAGGATGGAGGCCTGCATCCGGCGGCGGACGGAGCTCATCTGAGTGGCGTACATGAGCAGTCATTGTGAGGTGTTGATTTGGGCGACGACAAGGGCATTTGAGGCAGCGGCAGATGGTTGTGGTGATGACTGTTGTTGCTGCGCGATTTACGAAATGGATGGTGAGGAGGAAGAGGAGGAGGAGAGGTGCGGAGCATGTCAGTTCCGATACGTACATAGCGTGCATCCGCGTACATGTTTCCTTTTTTTTTTTTTTTTCCCTCTCTCTCTATCTCTGTGTGTGTTTCTATATTTATTTTTATTCTTAACTATTTCTTCTTTTTGTGCATTTATCGCGGCCACTGCTGCCACATGATTCTTGGGCCATCGTTTTTTATTTTTATTATTATTATTTTTGTTTTCTTTCTGTCTTGTAGCTTCTTTTGTCTGTTTTGTGCGGTGTGTTTGTTTAAACCAACACACACATACACACACACAGGAGGAGAGGGAACAAAACAAAGAAAGAAAGAAAAGGACAGGAAGGGGAATAATACACCACGCAAAAGGGGAAAAGATTGACACAGTGAGTGGGTGAGAAGATTGGAAAAGAGAAGGGAAAAAGAAAAAGAAAAAACGAATCGAATTACGGAGGCGAGTGGCGATGGAAGAGTCCCATCCCTCCGAGCTGCAGCTCCCAGCTCGTGAGGGCGATGAATTTAAGGGGGGTGGTGATGACTGTGGTGGGGAGGGCGATGCCGTGGGGTGCACACAGGAGGCAGGGAGAGCTGAGCTGCTGGACTACAAGGTCGACTGGGATGAAGTTGTGGGAGAGGGAAGTTTTGGCGTCGTGTACCGGGGGAGGCACGTCAGCAACGCTACGGAGGTGGGTGTTTTAACTCTCAAGGGGAGTTTGGAGCTGCGGGAGGAGCTCCGCAAGGAGGCCGAGAAGGGCGCCATGTTGCTGCTGAAGCAATGGCCAGGTGTAATTCATCTTTTAGGAACGTTTGACACTGTTGAGGAGGACACCGTGACTGTCATGTCCATGCTGCAGCTGCGTGGTGTGGAGGACATGCAGGCGTTCTTTACGCGTGATGTGGCCAAAAAGGAAGAGAAGAAAGGAAAAGGGGAGTTGGACGATGATCCGGCCTCCATCGCACCGGAACAATCTTCCTCGTTCACGGGCTGCTGCGGCGCGGAGGAGGGGGCGTGTTCGCGCCTCTTCAATGAGAATGAAGCAAAAGGGAAGAGGGAAGAAGAAGAAGAAACGGATAAGGGAGAGGCCAAAACTCACCGCGCGGAGGAGAAAAAATATGCTGCTGCTGGTGTTGCTGGTGAGAAGACGCAGAGCTTACCGCCACCAGCATCGTTGGCGCAGCGGCAGGGCGGTGCATTGTCTGTTGGCAAGTACATGGTGCAGCTGGGAAGTGTCTTGGGAAGAGGGAAGTTTGGAACTGTCTACCGCGGGTGGCATCGGGAGGAAGGCTACGAGGTTGCCGTGAAGATTCTCAAGGGGCCAGTGAGCAAGCGAGCAAAAATGCTCATTGAACCGAGAGAGTTGGGTCGACTACAAAAGCTGGACCACCCGAATATTCTCCGCATGTTTGGTGCCTTCCGACACGAAGAAAAGGATAGGAATGAAATGACGCTGGCGCTTGTCTTGGAGCTCTGTCAAGGGGGCGACTTGAAGGAGTTTCTCGCAAGAAACGATCCGCTCTCTGAGCGACAGGCGAAGCACATTATGCGACAGCTTGTAGACTTTCTTTGCTTTCTTAAAAGCAACCGCATGATGCACCGCGATTTGAAGCCTGCGAATATTCTTCTGACGACCACGAATATTGACAGGGCGGTGGTAAAGGTGGCGGATTGGGGCATGGCAAAGCAAATATCTAATTTTGGCAGCAGTATTTGCGTCCCTGATGCGAATGTCATGTTTGAATCGGCTGTTGGAACGGTGGCGTACATGTCGCCGGAGAGACTCTCACGAGAATTGTACGACTTCCAGGCGGAAGTATGGGCTCTAGGAGTCATCATGTATGAATTACTTTTTGCTAGGCACCCTTATTTGCATTCTGCTTCCTCTGTTCGCACGCCAGAGGAGCTTCTGAATGCCATTACGCGTGCAGAAGAGCTAGAAATGTCATGTAACGTTTTTCGCTCAGAAAACAAAAGAAAGGAAGGAAATGTGTTCAAACAACATCAGTCGGAGGTGAACCCTTTTTCACGTGAGTGCTACGAGCTTATGCGGCACATTTTGGATCCAGATTCGAAAACTCGCTACACCATTGAACAGGTGCGAGCCCATCCGTGGATTTCCCAACCGGAGAAAATGCGCGCAACAGAAGAGGTAAAGGCCGTAACGAACACAGTGGAACCGGCTGTAGCTCATGGAGAAAAATTGAATACTGCAAAAGTAATAAAAGCAGAAGATGTTGTGGCTGCCACGACCAAAATAATTAAGGCAGAAGAATCGGTCACAACAGAGATGGCGGCGACCGGACCATCAGCAGGGGTTACTGGCATCCCACTTCGAGTTCCCTCTTCAGAGGACGAGGTGGCGGGACCATTACATGTCCAGGGTCTTGGTTCTAACTGGAGTCCTTTGCAACGTCAGCAACTTATCTACCAGGCCTTTCGTGAGTATTTTTACATTTTACGGTATGATGTTCTGGAGGCGGAGAGCGACCCGGGGCGTGGGCTTGTGTTGTTGTCCTACGCCTGGGAACTTCTCCGTGCGGTAGCAAGGGCGGCATTGCTGGAGGAACACCGTTTATCTGGTGGAACGGTCTGCCTGGACGCCTCTAGCAGTATTTGTTACAGTGCCCGGAGTTCTTCTCGATTTGCTCTTCCCGACGATATTAAGTTAATGGAGAATTACATTCATGAAACCGCTCAAAGACTGAAGCGGAATTTGCCATGCCTCACTACTCACATATCAATGGGTGCCGAGACATTGACATTCTCCACAGGGAGTATGTGTGGGATGGAAGCATCCGGTGAATCCTTAACCCCACTGCCAGCGAATCCGCAGAAGTTGACATACCCCTCCGCACATACCTTGTTATTCGAACGCACTGTTTCGCTCATTCGTGCTGCAGCCACCGAGGAACTTATGCTTAGTGACAGCCATGAGCAAGACAACGTCATGGAGGAAGAAGAGGTACGACCCGAGGGTGAACGATATCGGCAGAAACGTATGTATGAAAAAGCCATAGCCATTTTACGGCTGATTCTTCAGCAAGTCGTTGTTCGTTGTCAGTCGTCTCTTCATTACCCCTTTCCTCCTGTTGTAACGGACACGGAAGAAAGCAACGGTATGCAGCTGCTGACAATACCACTTGTCCCACTTGAGGATGAAGCCGACCAACGCACCGTGCAGGCGCTTTTGCATACGGTAGAAAAACATTACCGGCGTCTTGTCAACGTGAAGTAAAGTACATATATAAACGAAGGCAACTCAGAAAGAAGCACTTCCAGAGGAGACAAAGAGAGAGAGAGAGAGGGAGGGAGGGAAGGAAGGTGGGGGGATAAATGGATGCACAGATGTGTGCATTTGTATTTGTAGAAAAGGCTTGCCTAATCTTGTTTTGTTGCCATTATTATTTATTTTGGGTATGAGTGTGTGTAAGTGAGTGTGTATTTCTGTGGTCGTGAAGGTTTTTTTTTTTTTTTTTTTTTGTTATTTGGCTTGGGAGTTGCATTACTTCCAGCGCTGTCCGTGAAACCCCTACGCGACGTGTCGTTTGCTTGTTGGCCAAAAAAATTGGAAGAAGGAGACAAGGAAGAAGAAGAAGAAGAAGAATCTTAACTTCATTTTACAAATCAAACAATTAAAAAAACAATATGTTTGTGTTGCTGTTATTGTTGCTCTCTTTGTGTGTGTCTGTGTAGACCAAGTGCGTTTTTTTTTTTTTTCTTCCTTTTAACACTGTGCCTTCTGACAATGGCCTGCATATATATATATATATATATATATACCTTTGTGTCTGTACGTGTGTGTGTGGTATAATGGACGTAATGTTTGTGTTTTTCACAAACAAAACATCTCACGAATGCTCCCACTTTTCCTTCACGGACGCAGCTTTTGGTATTTTCCCTTTTTTTCCAACCTTTTTTTTTTTTTTTATTTACCTGCCCACATTTTTTTATCCACTTGACGTATGTTTTTTCCCCATTGCACAGGAAGAGTTTTTGTGCTTGCGCAAAATTAGGGTTTGTGAAAAAAAAAAAAAAAAAAGGGACCGCCTGCGTCTTCCTTTTTTTGTCCTTTACTGTTTCCATCTTTGACGACACGGAGACGGTCTTTAAACCGCCTGAGCATTCGGGGCGTGTGTGGGTGTTCGTCAGTACATCCACGTGCTTCTGTGAAGCGAGCGGTCGGCGGTGATGGATGAGAGGCTAAGGAAGCTGCGCCTGGAGCGGGGCCAGGCCTTGCTGGAGTCGTGCCGCATGAGGGACTTCGACCGCAGTCCTGAAGAAACAGCCAGGCTAAAACAGCGCGGCCGTCTCTTGTACGAAGAGCGGCTACGCGCAGAAGAGAAAGGAAGTCCGTGTGTAGAAATGCGGTATCATTCAGAGGCGGTGATTGATCTGTGCAGTATTCCCGTCAAGGAAGGGCAAGCGGCGACGGAAAAAACGCATGGACTTTCGTATGTGCTGCCGCAGCCGGTGGAACTGCTCTCGGAGAGCCGTAGAGACGGGGACAACATCTCCACCTCACATGACTGTACAACGGCCATTATTGATTACTCAATTCTGGATTCCGTTCGCGAGCAACATATACGGGACGTCCGGCAAATTGAAATCCTAACAAAAGAAAGCCACTTGCTTCAAGAGACAATTGAAAAACAGCAGGAGGCACTAACCAAACTTGCTGCCGAGCTTGCCCAGCGCGACGCTCAAATTCAATGCAATTTAAAGAATGACGCAAGGAAATTAATTCCACCAGATGAAAAGGAGATGGGAGTACGGTATGACGGGGGCTCTGACCACATGCAGGAGATGGATCCCGCCATGCGTCCACGTGCGCAAGATAATTGTAGAAGCCCTCACCTGAAAACATTTGAGGACCTTCACGACGCCGAGTCTTTAGTGGCACGCAAGCAGGTTGAAATACAAGAGCTGCAGTTAAAACTTCAGGAGAAAATACTCTACTGCGACAAACTCGGGGAAGAAAACAAGAATCTCAACAAAAACAACCAAAAACTGCAAGAAGAAGTGGCAGCGCTACTAAAAAAAGTTTGTATGATACAAGAAGAACTAATAAACACTACGGAACAGGAAAATTATTCACAAAAAACAGTCATCTACCTCGAGCATAAAATACAAATGAAATCCGAATATAAACCATATACACCAGTTCCAGAAAGCACACATATGGAAGAAGAACTAGAACGTCTTGCACGGCAGTGTGCCGATGCGGAGGCGACCATGCACCGGATGGAGGCCGAGATGGCGGCAGAGAATGCCAAGCTGAAGGAGGAGTTGTGTCGGATGCAACAGAGCCATGAGGAGGAGCGTCAGGCAGCGGGGGCGGCGATGCACCGGATGGAGGCCGGGATGAGGTCGCAGCAGCAGACACAGCTAGCCGGGCCGCCACGCCGCGCAGCCGCGTCGTCCACGAACCCGTTTGCCAGCATGGGCGCGCCGTCGAAGGAACCAGGGTCATTTCCTGACCAGGGTGACGATGGCGATGACGTTTTTGGCGTTGGCACCGAGCAGCACCGCACGGCGACTGGTGATGCCGTGTCCGGGGATGGCCAGGCCGAACCGGAGGGCCTCGTGACAGAGCTTCGAGGGCGGCTAGCGGAGCTGGAGGCTGCCTTGTCAAGCGCCACACTGGCCCGGGATAGCGCTGTGGGAGAGGTGGAGCGTCTTGCACGGCAGTGTGCCGATGCGGAGGCGACCATGCACCGGATGGAGGCCGAGATGGCGGCAGAGAATGCCAAGCTGAAGGAGGAGTTGTGTCGGATG